AATTTATTCTCTCCCAGTTCTGGAGGCCAGAAGTCTGAAATCAAGGTGTCAGCAGGACTGTGCTCCCTCAGGTCCTTCCCCTCCCCTTCCAGCTTCCAGAGGCTTCCGGAGGCTTCTGGTGCTCTGCCTCTGTCTTCACATGGCCTCCGCTTCTATGTCTGTGTGTGTCTTTCTCTTTTTTTTATTGTGGTGAAAAACAATGATGTAAGTTCCACCCTCTTAATTAACGTTTGAGTGTATGGTATTGCTAACTGTGTGCACGTTTTTATACAACAAACCTCTAGAACTTTTTTACCTGGCGTGACTAAAACTCCGTACTAGCTGAATCACAATTCCCCATTTCTCCCTTCCTCCCTTCCTCCAGCTCCTGGCAACCACCATTCTGCTCTCTCTGTGTGTCTCTTATAAGGACACTTGCCATTGGATTTAGGGCCCACCTGGATAATCCAGGATGTTCTCATTTCAAGATCCTTCACTTAAATATACCTGCAAAGACCTTCCAAATAAGGTAACAGTCACAGGTTCCAGGGGTTAGGATGAGGGCATATCTTTTTGGGGTCCACCATTCAACTCAGTGCATACTCTCAGGGCTTTTTATCCCCCTTCCTAGAAATCATCTTTGGAAAATAAATTTTTGTGAGCAGCTTTAACAATTATTTCTTCAATCATCCCCTTCAGGAGTTGTTGAATGTCTCCCATATGCACAGCACTTGTAGGTTCTTATTTCCTCCTGTGGCAATTACTACAGTGTGGTGGTGGTATGTGGCCTTTTGAATGGTAATAATATGGTGAAATGCTGTTCTTGGGGAGAAGCATTTTTTTCCAATTTCTACAAATATGTAATTACAAATAGGATTTTCGCATTTTGCATGGCCCGAAGCTAAGATATTTGAAAATGTACACTGAAATTGATTGTTATTTTGAGTAAGATTGAAAAGTAGCATTAAAGTCAATATTACACATATATGCATATTTATAGGTAAGAATAATACCGTACCAAATACTCTGTAACAGTAAAACTGGTTGACGTGTATATTAACACTGTAATGAACTATTGGGAGAAGCAGTTTCCTCTGTGCCCTGAGCTTCCCTGCAAGTTCTCACTGAGTGCGCCAGATGGCAGAGCTTATCTATCTTCTGTGCTGCTTGTCCAAAAAGTGCTGGGCCATCGGCCCTGGGTTCCTCTCCTGTAAAGCAGTCCATTGCATGTGCACGTGTCATCTGGGCCCATCATGTCACCACCATGAGACTTCGGGGCAGGGGAACGAATGTGAGTATGCTGATGCTTGCTGCACCATGAGTCATAAGGTCCTTTGTCTCTGACCCAAGACACTGTGTCTTCTGCCAGTGCTCATGAAACAGTAGTAGGCTAATTTGGAACTTATTAAGTAAAATCTCAGACAAATATGTTAGTTCTGAAAAATTAGGCATAGATTGAATTTTTGTTACTAAAGTCACTGAATATTGATTTAAAAGATGATTTTTTTTTAAGTGGACTCCATGCCCAGCATGGAGCCCAACATGGGGCTTGAACTCACGACCCTGATATCAAGACCTGAGCTGAGATCAAGAGTTGCATGCTCTACCGACTGAGCCAGCCAGGCCCCCCAAAAGATGATTTTTCTGTGAAATCTTATAAATACAAATTCTCAAAAGTCTATCATTGTTTCTGTTTTATGACTTATGATATTTATCTGTCAGGTATATTAGGGTAATGCTTACTAGGTGCTGTAATGGATACATAAGACCCCCCAAGTCTCTGGTGCTTTACACAAGAGAGGTGTTTTTCAGTTCATGTCAAGTTCTATGTGGGTGTTCCCCACTGGGAGTCATTCCTGGTAGCTTTTCCATCATCTTTATCTGCTAAGGTCTCCTGGGGGCTCGTCTCTCCTGGCTAGTCAGAGGGGCGTGAGCACGTGGAGGGGGTTGTATGAGGGAGGTTTGGTTTTCCTTTTTTCTGCCATCTCTCTTCGTGCGTGCTGTGGCCGCTGCAGTGACTGCCCTTTCCTCTGCTTTTGCTTTGTTATTCTGACTTTCTATTGTGGCCAACTCCAAGCGTGCCAGAAGAGGGAAAACAATACAGTGAGCCGTCACGTGCACCATCACCTAGTTTCCGCAGGGATGACATTTTGCCGTTCTCACCCCTGGCACTTTTTTTCCTGGAGTCTATAGATTTTATTGTTGCTTTTTAATAAAATGGTGCTCTCAGTATGGAAAATATCTTAGGTGATGAGACACTTTTAACCTTACCCCTCAGAGAGAGCCACTTAATGTATTGTCTTTAAGGGAATAACATGTGTTGTTTTTTTTTTTTTTTTTTTTTTTTTTTTGAGAGAGAGAGAGAGAGGGAGAGGGTGGGGGGAGGGCAGAGGGAAAGAAATTCTCAAGTCGGCTCTATGCCCAGCACGGAGCTTCACGTGGGGCTCAATACCATGACCCTGAGATCACGACCCAAGCCGAAACTAAGAGTCTGACATTTAACGGACTGAACCACCCAGGCACCCCTAATCTGTGTCATTCTTCTAAATATATTCAGTGTATTCCATTATATGGATAAACCGTACGTAATTTATCTAGTTCCACATTGGGGGAGCATCAGTTTTTCCCTATTAAATAACGTTGAACTAACATCCTCATATCATACCTACCTGAGTAAGTGTTTTTTACAGGGTAAGTTCTCAGAATTGCTGTGTCAGAGGGTATGAATGTCTTCAGATGTAACGGGTATTGTCAGATTGCCCTCCAAATGACTATGCCAGTGTACGCGTTCAGCAGTGGCAAATGGGACGGTACAGGAGCATTTTAAAGCAAATCCCACATGTCTTATCATTTCACGGGGCAATACTTCAGTATTTCTTGCTAACAGATAAGGACTTTTTTCATTTTTATACATATTTCTAAAAAATATTATCACTTCTAAAAAAAAATAGTGTCTTTTATTGTTGGTTTGTTCAAATCAGAACTCACACAGGCATTACAAATGTGTCCTAAGAGAAGCGTTGAAGGGGATAATGGCCTCCTTTGGAGTTGTGCTGTTTTAAAAGCCTGCTCTGTGCTTATGTAGGTTTGGGACCCCGAGGTGACGGGCTTTTTGTGGTCCAGGTCTGCTTAATAGGTTTCTGATCTGTTTGCTTCTGGGCAGCTGCACACTCAAGGTTCTTTCCTAGACATAGTTCGAAAGGCTGCCCTATTTCTTTTTGGCCTTGCTTTCTGTGTCTTGTCCTGATTTCTGGGACGTTCCTCAAAGCTCTCCAAAGCCAGGGCCTGGCTGGGGTGGGGCACGGCTGCCTTTCTGTGATCTTGGTGCCAGGCCGAACCATGTGTGCCACTGGGAAGTCTCACAGACTGCTTCTGTCAACATCATTTTGCGGTCTTACTCTCCTATTATTTGGACTGAAGAAACTTTTTCAACCCAGTAAGACTTTTCCTTTCTGGGTTTTTCCTCATTCCTTCCATTTCTGCTTGAAAAGTAGCATTTCTCTCCTGAGCTTGTTGTTGTCTTGAACTCTTCTGCCAAGGCAGTGAGTAGTCAACACACCCCACCACCCTGCCCCTTCCCACCACTTTCCAGAAGCCGGCAGGCCCAGGAGACGCTGCTCGGTGAGAGGCAGCAGTCACCGCAGGCGGGACTTGGGACTTCGCCTTGACACGCCAGGCTCTGCAGCGCCCCAGCCTGCGGTCTGCCGCCTGACTGCATTTCTTAGGGTTTTTGTTCCCAGCACGTTACCTCGAGATACTCATTCCTGCATCTCTCAGGGTTTGGTCTGGAAAACAGGCACTGCTCTAGGTATTTCAAGCAGGATGGGATTTAACCCAGTGACTCAGAGGCTGTGAGACCATTACGGTGCTGGAGTGATGGTGGCGGCGGCGGCGGCGGCAAAGCCAGGGAAGCTGCTGGCAGCTTCCGGAAAATCAGGAAATGCAGGAATGACAGGAACCTGCCGCAGATCAGCTGGGCCTCCCGCAGGACCCCGAGGCTGATGTTCAGGAGGATGCTCCCTCGGAGGCTGGAGGCTGCTGGTGCAAGATCGCGCCTGCCCGGAGCCAGAGCCCTGCCTCGGGTGCTCCTGCCAGAGTCCCCTCCGGCCTCCACCACTCGGGTCGTCTGCTGTGCAGCGCTTGCAGGGGAGCTCGGCCTCTCCCCGCTGGCGGGATTCGGCCGGGAGCTTCCCTGCTGGACGACGGGGAGCACAGCCTGGGAGGAAATGGTGCTTGGTGCTCGGTGCCAACACACAGCCTAGCTGCCTTTTTCTTTTTTTTTAAGATTTTATTTATTCATTTTAACAGAGACAGAGACAGCGAGAGCAGGAACACAAGCAGGGGGAGTGGGAGAGGGAGAAGCAGGCTTCCCGCGGAGCAGGGAGCCTGATGCAGGGCTTGATCCCAGGACCCTGGGACCATGACCTGAGCCGAAGGCAGATGCTTAACGACTGAGCCACCCAGGCGCCCTTTTTTTTTTTTCAATGTGAGAAAATCCTGTTTACTTGTTTTTCCAGTTGTATTGAGAAATAATCGGCACACATCACTGTGTGATTTTAAGGCGTACAGCATGATGGTTTGGTTTACATATATTGTGAGACAATGACCATGATAGGTTCAGCTAACACCCATCTTCTCCTGAAGATACAATATAAAGAAAAAAGGAAACAAAATTTTCTCCTTGTGACCAGGACTCTTAGGACTATTCTCTGACCGACTTTCCCGTATGTCATACGGCAGAGTTAGCTGTGGTCAGTCAGCTTGTGGCGTGTTCCATCCCCGGGACTTACTTATCTTGTAACTGGAAGTTTGTCCCTCTTGACTCTCTTCTCTCCTTTCCCTCTGCTGGCGGCTTCCCTTGAACTGAGGGGAGCCCCGAACCTCAGAAACCATGGAGTAACGGTCCCCCGCGTGTCGGCGTTGTGTTACCTATCGTCTAGGTAAAAAAGCTTGCTGTCTGAAAGTGAGTACAGAGTATACGCCCACATAAATTTTATCTGTGTAATTGTTTTCATTCGTAGACTATAAAGCAATTGTCAAAATAGGAGAGGGAACGTTTTCTGAAGTTATGAAGATGCAGAGCCTGAGGGACGGAAGCTACTACGCGTGCAAGCAGATGAAGCAGCACTTTGAAAGGTAGGCGGGCAGTCTTCGCCAGTCAACCAGCTACAGGTTTAGAGCAAGAAGGGCCACTTAGCAATAGTGGGAAAAGTGTATTCATGTAATAACAGGTGAGATACAGTCAGCTTTCTCTGGGCAGGGGATTGGGGCTAACTTTATGTTTATGATACTATTCGGTGTTTATAATTTTATATGTTTATGAAAACTATTATGTTTATGATTTTATTCAGGTCCAGGCTTACTGTGATATCAGTGGGTCACAAAACATTTAAATTGTAAAAGTATGCCTCACTTTAAACAGCCTATATGTTCCTGAAAGTTGTATGTTGGACTTTTATAACTGAAACCTTAGTCTCAATATATTAGAGGTGCTTATGATTTAATTAATTGTGAATCAGTTAATATATTGGAAAACAATTTCCAGTTAGGGTTGGAAAATTTATTCCCTGAAATTTTCAGGATCAGTTGCCACTTGTGGAGAGGGGAGCTCTCTTGTTCTAGGTTCTGGGAGGACTGCTGTGGCTTTGGCCCTCAGAGCAGTCTCTTAAAATCCCTCAACTTTGCAGCTTCTTAACACAGGGCACTAACGAGTCAGACACCAGACGTGACTAGGAAGCTCTGTCAGAATAATGAAGCAGATGCTGGCCTCACGGCAACTGGGAAGCTTTCAGAAGAGAGGCATGAAGCTCAGCCTTTGTTTAACAGCAAAGGAATTGAAGTCTCTAAATAGTAAAAGCTAGTTGTAAAAAAAAACACAGTCATTCCCCCACATGGACACAGCCCTCTGAAGTGTTTTGGAGTATAAACCTTGATTTCAGACTCTTAGTACAAAAAAGCGTTTCTCAGATCAGAAAGGAGTTCTGGGCCATTAGTCATGTCAGAGAGTATGGAGAACAGTAATGTCATCTTCATGACCTCCCCATGGGGTGTCTGTAACCATCCCTGGTTTGCACACGAGGAGAGGTGCTTAGAGATCTGAAGTAGCCTGACAGTCGTCACTATGGGTCACTAGGTGGGCAGAGCTGTATTTGAATCATCCAGATTTCACCAGGCCAGAATCCTCCCCCTTTGCTGCGCAACGCATACGGTTGTTTACCTGCCACTGCCAAGACTCTGAAGTCACTGCGTCTTCGGCTTATCCTCTGTTGCTCGCTTCTTCCTCTGTGTATTCTGCATTCTCTAGGTTCCTCTACCTTTATACCTTGCGATGGAGAATTTGATGCGCAGCGTACTGATTACCCCATACCTAAAGAGCAGACTTCCTGGAACAGCCACCTCTGAGAGATGCGTCACAAATCCAGAGTAGCAGAGAAAGGACTTCAAGCCACGGGGTGGGACGCATTTGCACCCTAGGAGAGGACTGGGGTCCCCATCAGGTTCCACTGTCAGGGTCAGGGGTGGATGTACTTATAGACAACAGGGCTCGCTAGCTGTTGTTTTTGTGAAGAGGGAGATATAAACAGTGGGTGGGACAGATAGCCTGCAGACTTGAGGCATTTCTGGGCTTGTTTGGATGTCAGAGGAACGTGCAGTCGCGCTCACTCTGTGGAGCCGGCCATCAGGAGAAATCACACTTGGGTCTGAGTGTGCCTTCAGGAAGGTAGAGGTATCTGTAATACATTATACAAAGGTTTCCATCAAAGAACCCATCCTTTGAGGGGCAGGGAACGCTCAGTTTTATCTGGAGAGGTACCTTCTTGTGACCTCAGTCCGTCGGGAGAATGTGGTTCACCTAAGGGACATGGTTTCCTAGGGGTGAGGCGCATTCTGGATTCACCATCTGCCGGGTTCCGGACACGCCAACAGCGCCTTGTCTACTGAGCCTTGGTCCCCTTGTGGTGAGGTGCTTGAGGACTAAGCGAGGGAATGAACAGGGAGTTGGGGGAGGGAGGTGCGGCACATGGCAACCGTTCAGTGAGTGGTAGCCTTCATTACTGTGGGTGTGGCCGTTTGTTGTGTTTCAGAAACAGTGCTCTTTGTCCTCACTTGAAAAATGATTGATTAGAACACATATTTTTCTTTTAAAAACCTGTCATAAGTAAAGGTTTTTAATAAAATACCACTGAATCAGAGTTACTTTTTATTTTTGTTTTGTTTGCTTGTTTATATAGTAACCTGTACACCCAACATGGGGCTTGAATTCGTGACCCCAAGATCAAGAGTCCCATGCTCCACGGACAGAGCAGCCAGGCTTCCCAGTGTTACTTTTCTATAAAGTTTGTGTATGTTTAGGGGATTATGAACAGGCTTTAGTTTCTGTTGTATAAATCACAATTTCATGTATTGGCTTTACTTAAAAGGAAGTACACTTACTCTGGGCTAGTGGAATTTTGTTGCTGTTTGATGTATGGAATCAGTGATAGTCTCAAGCTGGTTTTGACAGGTATCTGCCGGCTGTGTAATCCAAACCTCAGAGAAATTGGGTTTTGGGTTTGTTCACGTGAGTTCTAATTTGCTCTTGATACATATGTTTCAAAACTGTAGGAGATTATAACCCAATACTACCATTGTTTATTTCATAATTGTTCCAGCTTAGATTATTCCAGCTGTGGCTTTGGGAGCTCTCTCGGGTTGGCTCCCGTGTTCTTTTGATAAGCTCCATGCTTTTTCTTTTCTTTTCCTTTCCTTTTTTAACACTTTAATTTTTGGCACTACAAGATTCTCTAGGCCCATGTATTTTTCCTGCCCCTAGAATCATCCATTTCTCTAAGGAGTCCTGGTTCCTTTTATTGGAGAAGGGTATTTAGAAAACAAGATCTTCACACTAGGTGTGCTCATTGCTCCTGGAATGTCAATCTCTCTAGACTCAGCAGACAGAGCTAATATGTATACTGATCTGTATGTACACACATCTCTCTCTTTTTCTCTCTCTACCCTCCCATCTGCCTTTTCTTTTTTTTAAGGATTTTATTTATTTATTCATGAGAGACAGAGAGAAGCAGGTTCCCAAGGAGCAGGGAGCCCGATGCAGGACTCGATCCAAGGACCCTGGGATCATGACCTGAGCCAAACGCAGACACTTAACCATCTGAGCCACCCAGGCACCCCCCCATCTGCCTTTTCAAATAACCATGAGTCCATACTGATAAATAAATGAGTAAAATAAATAAATTGGGACGAGGGGACAATTCTTCCTTACAGAAGAATTCCAGTTAATAAATATAGAAGGAATGAGGGAACTAGAAAATCATCAGTAAATAGCAGTAATAATTTCTGCAGGGAAGATAAGCTGATGGATACTAAAATTAGTAGGTGATGGGACGCCTGGGTGGCTCAGTCGTTAAGCTTCTGCCTTTAGCTCAGGTCGTGATCCCAGGGTCCTGGGATCGAGCCCCGCATCAGGCTCCTTGCTCAGTGGGGAGCCTGCTTCTCCCTCTGCCTGCCGCTCCCCTTGCTTATGCTCATTCTCTCTCTGACAAATAAATAAATAAAATCTTATATAAAATAAAATTAGTAGGTGAAACTTTAAAGAGAACAGGATTTCTGCATAGCCTCCAGTGATTTCCCCCCTATTTTTTAATTACGGTGGTGGTTTTAACATATGTCCACAAATGATTTGGTATTCCTTCCTTCGGGAGGTGGGGCTTAATTCCCTGGCCTTTGAGTGTGGGCTACACTTGCTTCTAAGGGATAGAAAGTAGGAAGGGAAAGATAGTAACTTTACAGTGAAAAACCTGGAAGATACCACCTTAACTAAATGATTAACACCATCAGTAATAAGACATGTTGATGTCATGTACTTTATGATACAATGGGTTTGAAAGAGCAAGCATATCACCTCAATGGTGTTCTTTCCCGAAGATCCATAATCTCAGTTTAATTATAAGAATACATCCGACCAGCCCAAATTAAGGGGCATTCTACAGAATACCTGGGGGTACCCCTTAAAACTGTCAAGGTAGGAAAAAACAAAGACAGGCAGTATCACAGACTGGAGGTGAGTATGGGAACATGACAACTTAATTGTAAAGAGGTATCCTGGGTCCTGGAAGAGAAAAAGACATTCACGGAAAAACTGGGGAAATCCAAAACTTTATAGTTAATAGAACTGTACCAATGTTAGTTTTTTAGTTTTGATAAATCTTGCATAAAGTGTTAACATTTAGGGGAAGCTGGGTTATGGGAACTTCCTGTACCGTCTTGTTAACTCTTCTGTTAGTCTAAAATGATTTCAAAGTAAAAAACAAATCAAAATAAACAAAATTAACCATTGGTGATTTGGAATGACTCCTATTGCTCCTAAGCTCCCTCCATTGGTAAAGGTATTGCTGTTATTTCTGACTTACAGGAAGAAATGACCTTACAGTTTCTAGAAGAAAGTTCTAGAAGAAAGACAGCTGCTTTGGGGGTCATTTCTAGGAAGGAGATTGCTAATAATTTGTGGGATGCTCCAGTGGCACTGATACTTGATCCACAAGTTTAATGTTCTTTTGTTTTTTTAACCATGAAAATAATATCTCTAGCTTTTGGAGTCCTGGAGTATCTATCAGCATTATTAAACAATTTAATCTTATTCACTTGAAGAATAATTTTAGGTTCTTTAAAAATCCGTTTCTGCTGATTTATCCTCATCTAAGTAAATCCTCAAAGTCACCTTGCACAGTTGTGTGGATGGATAAGAAATGAGAAGCGGTAACAGGAAAATCACACTGAGTCACACGGGCAGAATGAGGTTGGTATTTGGAGCTTCTGACTCCACCTCCTCCAGGTTTTACTTCTGTCCCTTTCCTTTCACTCTTACGGAAATAGAAATGGACAGCGTTTGCAATAATAATTGCACCTGGACGTCCAGGTGAGGCCAGAGAAGCCCGTTCGTTAGTAGTGGGTCAGCAGGATACTTTCAGCTTCTGAGGCTTGTTCTCCAGAGGGGCTCAGAGGCTCGTTTGGGGATAAGTGAGTTACTTGCAGGAGGCCTGCCACGTGACCCAGTCCTTTGGATACCTGGTTTCCACCTGGACTCCCACAAGTGCAACCGTTAATTAGAGGCCCCCCCTTTTTTTTGCTATGATTGTATT